CGAGTGGGGGACGTGGGGGGGGGGGGGGGGGGACGTGGTGGCCGGGGATGGGACATTGGGGACAGGGAGGGGACACCGGGGCTGGGGTTCTGCAGCCACCTGGAGGCCACTGGGTCTGGGTGGCCCTGGGGACAGTTGGGGACACCCTGGAGGCTCCAGGTGTCCCCTCTCGGGAGTTTTGTCCCCTCCTGTGTCCTGTGTGTCCCCATGTCCTCCTGTCCCCAGTGTCCCTAACTCTGTCCCCACTGTCCCCCAATGTCCCCCCAATGTCCCCCCAATGTCCCCCCAATGTCCCCCCAATGTCCCCCCAATGTCCCCCCAATGTCCCCCCAATGTCCCCCCAATGTCCCCCCAATGTCCCCCCAATGTCCCCCCAATGTCCCCCCAATGTCCCCCCAATGTCCCCCCAATGTCCCCCCAATGTCCCCCCAATGTCCCCCCAATGTCCCCCCAATGTCCCCCCAATGTCCCCCCAATGTCCCCCCAATGTCCCCCCAATGTCCCCCCAATGTCCCCCCAATGTCCCCCCAATGTCCCCCCAATGTCCCCCCAATGTCCCCCCAATGTCCCCCCAATGTCCCCCCAATGTCCCCCCAATGTCCCCCCAATGTCCCCCCAATGTCCCCCCAATGTCCCCCCAATGTCCCCCCAATGTCCCCCCAATGTCCCCCCAATGTCCCCCCAATGTCCCCCCAATGTCCCCCCAATGTCCCCCCAATGTCCCCCCAATGTCCCCCCAATGTCCCCCCAATGTCCCCCCAATGTCCCCCCAATGTCCCCCCAATGTCCCCCCAATGTCCCCCCAATGTCCCCCCAATGTCCCCCCAATGTCCCCCCAATGTCCCCCCAATGTCCCCCCAATGTCCCCCCAATGTCCCCCCAATGTCCCCCCAATGTCCCCCCAATGTCCCCCCAATGTCCCCCCAATGTCCCCCCAATGTCCCCCCAATGTCCCCCCAATGTCCCCCCAATGTCCCCCCAATGTCCCCCCAATGTCCCCCAATGTCCCCAGTGTCCCCATGTCCCCATGTCCCCAGCTAACTGTCCCCGTTGTCCCCACAGCCGCGCCCCACGCTGACGCTGTCTCAGGCCCCGCAGGCCCCGGGGGGGCCCCCGCGCCCCCCCAGCATCATCAAGGTCCCCAGTGCCATCGCCCTGCCCGTCCCTGTCCCCGTCCCTGTCCCCACGCTGGCCTCGGGCCGCCCCGGGACCCCCACCCAGCCCTCGCCACCCCCCCCCAAATTCATCGTCATGTCCTCGGCCAGCAGCGCCAGCCAGCAGGTGAGGGGACACTGGGGACACTGGGGACATCACTGGGGACACTGGGGACATCACTGGGGACATCACTGGGGACATTGGGGACA